ACACACACACACACACACACACACACACTCACACTCACACTCGCACACTCACACTCACTCGCACTCACACTTGCACACTCGCACTCACACACTCACACACTGACACACACACACACACACACTGAGACACAGTCACACACATACACACACTCACACTGAGACAGTCACACACACACACACACACACACACACTCACACACACACGTTTTATTACGTCTTAAATTGATTTTTCCGTACATTTCTGCCATATGTACATTAACTGACAGTCACCACTGATAAGCTACCACTAAATATTGTAGAAACTTAATTTGCTGTAAAGTTGCTTTGCAATGATTTGTATCGTGAAAAGCGCCGTACAAATAAACTTGACTTGACTTGACACACTCACACACACACACACTGACACACTGAGACACACTCTCTCACAAACACACACACACACACACACACACACACACACACACACACACTCTCTCTCACACACACACACACTGAGACACACAGTCACACACACACAGTCATCAATACACACATTCACATTCAGAAACACACATCTGCATATTCAGCAGTTTGTAAGTGACAAAAGCGACTCCGTTAAACATTGCAGCATTTCCTAAGTATTGATAATGTAGGTTTATTGTGAAATTTAATGAAATGTTTATTTGAAGCCCAGGGCTCAGATCTTCCAACAGAAAGTGACAGTGAGGTACAAGATTAACGTCACTCTATCCATCAACTACATACAGACCAGTGTTGGGAAGGGTTCTTTGGAAATGTAATAGGTTACAGATTACAGGTTACCTTATTTAAAATGTAATAAATAGTGTAACAATTTTAATTACTTTATTAAAGTAATGTAACTGATTACATTTGATTACTTTTCTAAATTTCAAATGTTTTCAACTGTTAATCATTTTGAAACAATCATTAACCTTACAGTAGAACTCAACACTGATTTCTGTCAGACTTTCAGAATCCTTCTTCACCTGAATTAAGATTATAATTATTTAATTTCAAAGCACAGCTTAGCACAGTTTAACATCTTAAGATATAGTTTAATAGCTATGATACCGTTTTTGAAATCAAATCTTTGCACAGCTATGACACTGGCATCTAACAATGCTTTGGGAAAAAACAGTTCATCTTAGAAAATAAAGCATATACACAAACCCAAATAAAACAGTTATCAAATAAGCACGTGTCCTAAACTCCTGAAATACTGGGGTCTCATATTTTAAAGCAGTCAATGCAATTTGGAAAAGAAATCAACTAAATCTCTATGTGTGTGAAAATATTGAGATGTAACCCCCTTTGTAATCTTGTAATCTAATCATTTTCATAAGTAACTGTAATTTAATTACATTTTTTCCAGTAACTGTAACAGATTTGAGTTGCATTTATTTTGTAATTAAATTACATAATTCCATTACATCTAACTAGTTACTCCCCAACACTGATTCAGACTCACATCAGCTGACACAAAGAAGCCTCTTTTATTAAATACATTTCTAATGATCATAACATTGGAAAATCCACCACCGAAAATATTTCTCAGTCCATCCACGATCCTCTGAACATCAGTGCTATATTTACATAACTGTTGTTGTCAGAGCCATCAACTCAAGAAGCATGAACTGGAGACGGATGATCAGAAGCAACTGAGACAAACAGGACAGAAACAAACGTTCGTGATATTGCTGTAAACGTGAAGAAAGTAGAGTTCAATGGAGTTTAAATCACAGTCGATGGCGAGAGCAGCGCCGCGTCACTTCATCTTCTTCCCGTATCCCTTCTCCAGTCCTTTGTCTGAGTAAAAACACGATCAATTAATCAAGCACAAAACACACGGAGACACATTCTGAAACATCCCAGAAGCAAACAGAACCCAGGCAAAACCAACGGAAAGCACATTTTAATATGTACATCATTTAAATACATAAAACTCTGGGAAAAGACACAAGGCACCGTGTCATCAGTGAAACTCTGTGAGAAGGCACACGGCTTCGAACGAAGCTTTAACGTGGTGTTCGACATGATTTCATCAAGCAGTGTAGAAGCATCTATCCCATAATCCTTCAGGAGCGTAAAGTGCACGATGTGTCCTGCTACAGACCGACCGCAGGCAGGAGCGACAGGCCATGGCTGTGATCTAAATATGGCTTTCAGTGAAGCAGAAAACTGAACTAAAAACTCACGCTCGCAGTGTTTCACCTCACACGAGCACTGCACGATTATGACGAGCTGCATGAACGCAGAGTGCAGGAAGCAGACGTGATCACCATCTGAGCTGATGACACTTGAAAAAGCCCATCAGAGACCAACACCAGTCTCACTCGATTATACCTCAAAAACAAAATTAAAACATAGACGTGCCCCTGAGAACAGAGAGAGATGTTGTTCCAGCAGTGGCGGGTCTCAGTCTCAGTGTGCCGCTGATCGTCGAGTGATTCTGCTTCCTGGCGTGTGGCGTGTTCGTGTCGGGGCTAAATGTCACTCTTTGGCTGCCATTAAACACGAGCCCAGAAAACAGATCACATGGACACACACACACAGATATCAGTGCATCTGCATCAGAGGTAGCAACAAATCTTTTCTTCTGTATTCTGACAGATTATCAAAAAAGAAAAAGATGTAATGCAGGGATTGGTTCTATGCATCAGTTGTTGATTTGTGGGCGTGGCTCTGTATGCAGATGAGCTTGAGGGGCAGAGTTTAAGAGCACTATATGATTGGAGAATCCTGACACGTCACTGGACGTTATGACATTATTAAACAAATACATGAATTAATCATTCACAGTCAGACCAATAACATGCATTTAATTGCATGCTGATATTTTTTGACTTTATCATTAAAATAAAACAAAAAAAGTCCAAAATACAAAGTTCTCTCAAATTTTGCACAGACAAGCTCTAGAGAACTCACTGGCTTTCATCCTGCAGCTCCTGATCGGCCTCCGCAGCAGAAGACTCCACGTCCAGACTACAGTTGCTGCCCGCTCCGGACGCACAACACGGACTGTCTGGAGTGAGAACGTCCCCGCTGACACACACACACACACACACACACACACACAGTGAGAGACAGACAGTCAGTCACACAGACAGACAGACACACACACACACACACACACACAGTCAGTCTGTCTGCTGTAACGCTGCTGTTCTTATAAGTGCACTGATTCTGTGAGTCTGTGAAATGTTCTAGATTTACTTGATTCGTCCTTCCAGCATCTGAATGTGGCGCTCTTTCTCGTCCAGTGTTTTCTTTAAGCAGTTTATCTCTCGCTGTTTATCAAGAAGTTCCTTCTGAAGCCTGTAGTTACACTCCTCCAGAGTTTCACAGAACGCCTGATGGACAGACAGACATAACTCTCGTTTCTCGAGTCCTGTGCTGCTTTTAAAATCCTCATTTGCACTTTTATTAACTCTGTCTTAAAATTTTTATTTTCTACATCTATCCCTAATGCCAGCTTTATTACAGTCATTGGCCGGGTTTAGAGACATTTGACCCCACATTAAAGGATTGTGGGTAATCAGTAAGATGAGTTAAAGGGTCATGAAACCTACTTTAGCACCAGTTGCATCAAACATTGCTAACAGTGTCTTCTGTGATGTGCATCTCCCTTATGATCTCAGAAAGTGCAGTTTAATATTTGGTGTTCATATTTCACAAGCTGACGACTCACCCGACTCTCCTCCAGACTGTCAAACGGGCCGGGAGGATCATCCAGACACAAGAACTCCCGAACCGCCACACTGAGGAACAATACGATCCATCACACACATACTTTAGTCAGCTTAGTCAATTAAAGCATTACAAATGCTAGACTGAGCAGTGAATCCTGCGCTCACCAGTTGGCGATGTCTTTGTGTGCCACGAGGTTCTGGAGGAAGGCCTGCAGGCCCAGCTGTCTGTCCTCCAAGAACTCCGTCTCATAGTTGTCTTTGAACCAGCGCTTCGGAGGAAGAGACAGTCTGAACCCCGGAAACATCTCCTTCAGCTGCAGACAGAGAGACAACATCAGCTGAGCACTGGAACTGCTGCTAAACACACTCTAACACACACACACACACACACACACTCTAACACACACACACAAACACACTCACACACACACGCACA